GAGTTTAGTTACAGTAGGGTTTAGGGGGCACTCAAGTTTAGAAAGATCTGTCCTACGTGCAGCCAGCTCCAGTTGCCGGCCTCGACGAGCATGTGGTTGTCACCCAGGCCCTGGCAAACGCGCTCACCGTCGTCTGAAGCACAGTCACCGCTTCTACGGTCAGTGTAGGCCTATGTAGCCTTCCACTCAAGCAGAACCTTCACCGCCCCTCCCTTCGACATCAACTCCTGCGACGTTCCGGTGCCTTGACGTGACTGCGCTTGTGTGCCAAAGCGGCCGTGTTGGTCTTCCGCCCAGTCGGCCCTTCAACCTTCCAAGTACTAGGCAAGCAACCTTCACGACATGTTGTCAACAAATAGTATATATGTATATATACAATATAATTCAGTCCGCGCTGACTGCAACAACGTGTCGTCGAGAGTGTTGCCCAGGGTCTGCACCGTGCATCTTGAATGTTGCGTACTTCAAGCTTTGCCGCATGGATAGTCCGCGCGCGTCGCAGCTGGAGCATATGCAAACAATCTGAAGATAGGGATGTCGGTCTTCAAAACAAGGCAGCAACCGGGATGCTGAAGAGTGCATCAGGTGGCAGGCAGGAACGGGGAAATCAACAATCAGGTTACCTTCATCACCGCTCGTTAGATTTTGTATGGTGCTTGGGTTAGGTCTGGTGTGATTGCGGTGCAGTGACTTCGCCCAATGCTTGCATTCTCTGAGGGTGTGGCCTCAGGCGCTTGCGGCATGAGTGTATGTCATGGTTCCCAGCATTTCCCAGCCATGCACCACCAACAGTTACTAGTGCAGCTTTTCCTGTCACTGTACAGCCACAAAATGTCACAAAGCTCGAGGTCGCGTGGTGGCCTCCATGTAGTCTGCGTTCACACCCACGTACGCCTGAGAGATCTTGCCCTGCAGCGCACGGATGGCTGGCGGGACAAAATGCGTGTTCATCCTAGAACCCAACGGCGCGAATGTCTCACGACGAGTTAGTGGCTGTGACGGCCACGCCAGTCCCCTGTCCTAATTCCGTGCCTTCGGGCCGCGCGGCTCGCCATAAACGTCCCAAGTTGGCCCCTGTCACGGTGACAAATCCGCAGGGCCTTTTAGGTCTGAAGTAAACCACTTGTTTAAAACCCGAGCTGAACTTGCCAAAAGCTCCCCCCCCCCCTATTTCAATTCTTCACTGCCCTGACTGCAAACTGCAGCACGTGCAAGACTTGGCCTTCTTGTCCGGATGCGGACCGAAAGGTGCATCGTCTTGCACCGCCATCTCGGGTTTTGGCACAAAGGACAACTAGATGGCTTTGCACCGTTCCAAGACACAATCAGCTAGCTAGGGTTGCGGCAATCGGCATGCGCTGTGCCGGCTGGAAGAACTGCCTGGGAAGCTTGATGCAGCTTGTGCTTGAACCTAATTCTCAGTCATCAGCCAGCACAGGACTTGACGAGGCCCCCGGCTGCTGCTGGTTAACATCCTCCGGCAAGGCCCCGAACTGCAGCGATCAGGCAAACACCCAGGCAACTACGTAAAAGCAAGTGCAAATTCATGGGGTTGGGCATCTCTTCAGACAAGCCCCACGACTGTCGGTATTCCAGCAGTCCGTGAATATGCTTTCCCGGAAACATGCGTGAGCCCCTCTAGATCCCTCTAGCGTAACCATGGCTGAGGCACGTCCGGCGCCCCGAAGGTGGCTCCGGGCCAACCATCTTCGACCTGGAGGGGCCCAAGGCGGAAACTTTGGCGGCGAATTCGCTAGGAACCTGAAACCCATAAAAACCCATAGAAAGAAACCCTCAAGGCCCGACACCAGAAAGCCCCCAAGCCCAATTCCTGAGGTTTTGTGTGGCAGGTAGGGACGTGCCTCCTCGTCTTCGGCGGCCTGGTTCTCGGGGCTGGCCTCCTGCTCGGGCTCCTCGACGGGCTCGCCTGTCAGCCGGGTCTCTGGATGCTAAGTCCTCCATTTACGACTTTCCGAAAATAAGGGGTACCTTATTTTGGGGTCCTTATAATAAGGATCCTACTATTTAGGGTACTATATTAGGGTCCCCTATTTTCGGAAACCCCCATTTCAGCTCCGGCAAGGCCACCCACAAGGCGTGGATTCCAAGGAGTCCGTGGTGGCCTTGGAGCTGCACGACTGAACACGCGCCTCTAGCCACGTAGAAACTGCAACAATACTAACCTGAGACCTGTATGTCTCGCCTGGCGGCCTAGCGCCTTCCAGACAGCAGTGCCGAGCACAAAAGTGGGCAGGATTCGCGGTGCAACGAAAAGCATGGGGCTCCGAAGCTAAAACACATTCGAGGCCCAAATCCAGGTATTGCTGACTTATGTATCATATGTTACGTTTCATGGTATATAATAGTACTCTATGTTATGCTCTTCATATGAATTGTACTCTACTATGTCAGCTTAGACTATACTATATCTTACTAGATACTATATCATACTATACTATACCATACGATACTATACTATACTATACTATACTATACTATACTATACTATACTATATTACCGCTGAATCCCAGGGCGCTGGCGGAGGCGGCGGCGGCCGCGGCCGCTTTTCCTTGACGACCGAGGCCTGACTGCGATCCCAATATGGTACATCTATAAGGCATACTTACTGACTCACTTACTTACATACATACGTACTTACATATAGCATATACACATATATACATATACGTATATATATATATATATATGCATACAGATGTTCAATATATGTATGTAGAAATTAAAATGTCATGTGTAAGTTACAGTAGATATATAGGCACAGATAATACAGTATAATGTAACATAAAGTAACAACAGTGTAACAACACACAGTATAACATAATGAAATATGTACCTATATTTACAAAAAATATAAATCATATGATTTTGCACAGTATGTTATAACGTACCATAATCCAGTATCCTGAAATTCAGTACATTTGATTATACTATAACAATATGCAATACACAATATGATGCACTACCAAATAATGCAACACAATGTCTTGTAATGTAAAATAGTATAAGACAATGCAACAGGAATACACCACAGTACACTAGAACAATACACTAAACAGGATATAAGATAATGCACTACCATATAGTACAGCATTGTATAACACAGTCTAACATGATGACGAAACCAAAATATAACATACGTATAATATAAACTACGTACAATATCTTATTAGTATTGGAGTATATCATGAAAACTCGGGAGAGTGGAACGCCCTGGGGCCCCCATATTTACAGCGAATTCGCATGCTTTATAACGAAAATCGCTTTTGAAACAGAAGGGTGGTATAACACTTGCACGTACCTTTCTGAAAAAAGATTGGTGTGCATTGTGATATAGCGAAAGCAAAAAACTACTGTATACATATACAAACATATACATATATATATATAACTACGAGATATTGTACTCTGTAACGGTCTTTACTTATATACAACAATAAGTTCGTACCATCTAATCAAGATCGAGGTCCAGAGGTACGCAGGTGCGGCTCTCTTCCCAGCGTCTACTGCAAAGCAGTACCTAATCATGAGCCTTCGAGCAATCTCTGGGTGTCCAAAAGAACATGCTTCGTAGGTACGCGCTTGACATGGCCCTCGCAGAGATTGACAAACTGTGAGCGCAATGAAGAAACACCCACACATCCAGGCATCTTCCAGATTTAGATCCAGGGCCCTGTCATGAGTCCAGACATCAGGGCAGGTACTAGCAAGAGAACCCGCAGGCCTGTCTTGGCTTGGAGTCGGGATCCAGCATGCCTCGCAGAGAATACTGCTCAAAGTGACTTCGGCTCTGCGGCTGGTGGCCAGCCTACCCCTCGTGCCGCAGGCACTTCAAACCGACACAGACTCGCAAGCTGCTCCCACCTGTGTCCATCAGGAACTGCAAACCAGTCTCCTCCGTGACAGCAGTGCTGCGGCAGACTCTTGGTAGACGTTCGTACAGAATTGCATGCTCATTCATCGGTGCCCTTCTGCTGCCGCTCACATACTGAAGCTCGAAAGCGTTATGCTTTGCAAAAACATCAGCCAAGAGTCTGATTTGAAATACGAAAACGACCATTCCGTCCTGGCAGGTGGCGGGCGTCTGATGCTCATCCCACTGTATGGAGGACATTGAACGTCCACTGTATGGAGGACATTGAACTTCGACATGCCACACTGCAAGGTTAAAGTCAGAACATCGAACCATAAGGTGCAATGTTATTTGTTGAGCTGACAGGCCGGGCTTGCTCTGCAACAGATAGCCGCTTCTTGCCTTTCTTCACCTGGGTGAAGCAGAGAAAACCGAGGGGGATCAGTGCAGCACCAATTGGAGTGAACTTCGAACACAGATGGACTTTTGCTTTGGTCCAGGCTGTCTTGGTCGCCTGTGGAGCCTTAGCAGTGCCACTCCGGGCTCTTCAGGGTGGCAAAGCAACCGACCTATGCTTGCCCTTTCCGAGTGTCGCCGATGTCCCACAGTAGAGCTTGTTACGACTTGGTGGTTGCGTTTGCTTGATGCGACAGGTGCTTGTCAAGATTGTGCTGTGCACCTACTGCACCGAAGCTTGCAGAAGTCCATACCTGTCACAGCTGAGACCGGTGCGATGTTCTCCTGGTCTTGCATGGAGTCCTGGCAGACAGCCAGGAATCCACGCTGCGGTGTGAACTAACATCATCGACAGCTCTGGGTGAAGGTCGCAACATTACACGTTTTGAAGTCAGCCCCCTCTGCCTATGTGTCTGCTATCGCCATGGACTTCCATCCTTTGTAGGCTGCAGCGATTCGTTCAAGCAGCAACAACGGTCTTGCTCCCCAGATTCTGCAACCCAGGCCAGCATCGTGCCCAACAAGATTTCAAACATGTACGTGTGTGTATATATATATATACATACACAGAAAGATACACTGCATGTTTTTCCGCTTGCAGATGGCTAACATGGGATTGCTGTGCTTGAAGCAAGGAGAACGGCTGAGCACAACCTAACCTGATTTGTTTTGAACCTTGTGTCAATGTGCCTTAGTTACATGGTCTTTCGGAAAGGGCGCTGCGCTCTACTGTTGTTGCTAAGAACACGACTAGTAATGTCTGCTGTAGTAGTAAAACACAAAGTACTACTGCCAGTGGTACTGCTGATGCTTGCAGTGTACAGGACCGGTAGAGCAGCAGGAGTGGTACCAGTAGTCGTCGACATCCTAGTTGTAGTAGTAGCAGATATGATTATTGGAAGTAGCGGTTTTAGTAGCAGTAGCAGTGGCAGCAGCAGTAGCAAAAGCAGTAGCAGTATTACTACTCATCTTAGTAGTAGTAGCAGTGGTCGCAGTAGAACAGTAGCGGTAGCAGTCGCAGCAGTAGCAGTGGCAGTTGCAGTGCCAGTAGCAGTGGAACGGCTGGGAGTAGCAGTGGGAGTGGCGGCAGTCGTCGTCGTAGTAGTCGTAGTAATCGTAGAAGTAGCAGCCTTCGACGTAGTCGTGGTGGTGGCAACAGTAGCAGCGGTGGTAGCAGCAGCAGCAGGAGTAGTAGTAGTAGTAGTAGTAGTAGTAGCAGGAAGACAAGGAACCGAACCGCGAACCGTGGAACCGGAACCGTCAGAACCGGAACCTGTGAACCGAGTAGTAAAACCGGAACCGTCGAACCGAAACGAAATAAAAACCGAACCGTGAAAGGTTCCAATTCCCCGGAGTTAGCGGTCAGGGTTCTCTACTTATCTCTCTTCTCTGCTCTTCTCTTCTTTGATTGTCTTTGCTGTTGGCGTGTAGCAACCTCAAGCAAGGAAAACAGAGCAAAGAAGAACAACTCAGAAATAGTTCCTTTGCCCAAAACAAGCCAACCCCTCGTATGGGACCCCTGGGAGGCCTTCAGAAGAGCCCTCGAAGGCCAACCGAACCGAAAATTCCTAACACAATGTGTTAAGGCGATTCTCGGTTCGTTGACTTTAGGAGAGCACTTTCAAAGGTCTTGTAAAGGCAGGCACAACCCCCCAAAATCGCCCTAACACACGTGTTAGGGCGATTTTCGGTTCGCTGTCCTTAGGAGAGCTCTTTAAAAGGTCTTGTAAAGGCCCAAACCCCCCAAAATCGCCCTAACACCATGTGTTAGGGCGATTTTCGGTTCGTTGTACTTAGGAGAGCTCTTTCAAAAACCTTGTAAAGGCCCAAACCCCCCCAAATCGCCCTAACACAATGTGTTACGGCGATTGTCGGTTCGCTGTCCTTAGGAGAGATCTTTAAAAGGCCTTGTAAAGGCACAAACCACCCAAAATCGCCCTAACACCATGTGTTAGGGCGATTTTCGGTTCGTTGTCCTTCGGAGAGCTCTTTGAAAGGCCTTGTCAAGGCCCCACCTCCCAAAATCGCGCTAACACAATGTGTTAGGGCTATTTTCGGTTCGCTGTCCTTAGGAGAGCTCTTTCAAAATCACCAAAATCGCCCTAACACAATGTGTTAGGGCGATTTTCGGTTCGTTGTCCTTCGGAGAGCTCTTTGAAAGGTCTTGCCAAGGCCCCACCCGCCAAAATCGCCTTAACACAACGTGTTGGGGCTATTTTCGGTTGGCTGTCCTTAGGAGAGCTCTTTGAAAGGCCTTGTAAGGGCCCAAACACCCCCAAATCACCCTAACACAATGTGCTAGGGCGATGTTCGGTTCGTTGTACTTAGGAGAGCTCTTTCAAAAGCCTTGTAAAGGCCCAAACCCCCCGAAATCGCCCTAACACAACGTGTTGGGGCTATTTTCGGTTCGCTGTCCTTAGGAGAGCTCTTTAAAAGGCCTTGTAAAGGCACAGACCACCTAAAATCACCCTAACACAATGTGTTAGGGCTATCTTCGGTTCGTTGTACTTAGGAGAGTTCTTTCAAAAGCCCTGTAAAGGCCCAAACCCCCCAAAATC